CCCCCCCGAGAATGAGGGAGAGGGCACCTCCCTGAGTTTTTTTCAGGTTGGGGTGTCTGTAGTCTATCATGGAAGTGAACTTGGAGAAGGAAGGACAGTGTCAGCATGAATTCTGAGATAATTTAAAGATCTACAGCCGAGTGATACACAAATAAGATACATTTCTGTTAATAGTTGGGGTACGTGAATGCATTTATAAGATCCGAATCAGAGTTCTTTAAATGCAGCAGAGAAAAATCAGGTCTCCTGTTCTGCCAAACAGGGCTGTGCTCTATGTCTATGTACAGCTCAGGGCCGGATGGACAGAAATACAGATACGGGCAGGTAAAACATCTCTGTACACCTTACAACGGGCCACCGTACAACCAACTTTAGATTGAAGACATCGATGCAATGTGACCACCTACCTACACTATCCAATCTGACAGCCTTCTGTTCTACATAGTTGCTGGTAGAGCTACAGGAAATTGTACAATCGGATTGAAACTCCCTCTTTATTGGCCTACCTCTACACAGGCTATCCCCCTTCAGTCTATCATGAATGCAGCTGCTAGATTAATTCGCCTAACCAACCGCTGAGTATCTGCAGCCTCCCTCTGTCAATCCCTGCACTGGCTTCCAAGAGCCCAAAGGATAAAATTCTAAATAATAACAACCACTTACAAAGCCATCCACAACTCTGGCCCCGGCTATATCTCAAACCTTGTCTCAAAATATCACCCCAACCGTCCCCTCTGCTCTTCCAAAGGCCTCCTGCTTTCTAGCTCCCTCGTCAACTCCTCCCATGCTCGCCTCCAGGACTTCACTAGAGTCTCTCACATTCTCTGGAACTCTTTACTCCAACCTGTCCGACTATCTCCCACTCTGACTGCCTTTAGGCGTTCCCTAAAGACTCATCTCTTCAAGGAAGTTTATCCCACCTCAACCATCACGTTCTCAAACAATTCATCCCCACACAGCTACCTCCTCATATATCACTTGACCCTCCCTTTTAGATTGTAAGCCCTCAGGGGCTGGGCCCTCCTTACCATCTTGTCTTGAATTATATTGTGATTGTAATGTCTTCCTTATATTGTAAAGCGCTGCACAAACTGTTGGCGCTATATAAATCCTGTATAATAATAATAATTGTAAAGTGTGCAGTGAGTTGTTTATGTATTTCATGTGTTTGTTTGGAGTTTTGCTGTAAACATTTGTTGTCTCAGTTTCCTGCGGGCTGGTCAGTACCAGGCATTTCTGCTTTTATTGGAAGCTAATGGCTAAAGCCCCCAACATGTGTGGATAGATTGGTGATGCACACAGCAATGATTGTATGTAGGACACAGTGAGAGGGATGAGGTGATACAATGTAAACATGACAGGAATAGTTGGAGCTGCACTACTATGACTGGGGAACCCTCAGTAAACTACACTAACATTTTACACAAATTGTACAGAAAACACAAAAACCTGCCAACTGTCTTATGTCCTAGTCAGTGCCGTGTGTGCAACGCCGGGCACCTTGTGAGGAGAGTGAGCTCCCGGAGTGTGAACTTGTTGATTCGTGCAGGATGGGACTTGTGTGCAGTACCACACTCAGCACATGCATGACACACAACATACATGACACACAATACACACATGACAAACACACACTAGCAGGGAGAGTGTAGACAGAGAAGAAGTACCTGGTAGCAGCTGTACCACTCTGACTGCCTTTAGGCGTTCCCTAAAGACTCATCTCTTCAAGGAAGTTTATCCCACCTCAACCATCACGTTCTCAAACAATTCATCCCCACACAGCTACCTCCTCATATATCACTTGACCCTCCCTTTTAGATTGTAAGCCCTCAGGGGCTGGGCCCTCCTTACCATCTTGTCTTGAATTATATTGTGATTGTAATGTCTTCCTTATATTGTAAAGCGCTGCACAAACTGTTGGCGCTATATAAATCCTGTATAATAATAATAATTGTAAAGTGTGCAGTGAGTTGTTTATGTATTTCATGTGTTTGTTTGGAGTTTTGCTGTAAACATTTGTTGTCTCAGTTTCCTGCGGGCTGGTCAGTACCAGGCATTTCTGCTTTTATTGGAAGCTAATGGCTAAAGCCCCCAACATGTGTGGATAGATTGGTGATGCACACAGCAATGATTGTATGTAGGACACAGTGAGAGGGATGAGGTGATACAATGTAAACATGACAGGAATAGTTGGAGCTGCACTACTATGACTGGGGAACCCTCAGTAAACTACACTAACATTTTACACAAATTGTACAGAAAACACAAAAACCTGCCAACTGTCTTATGTCCTAGTCAGTGCCGTGTGTGCAACGCCGGGCACCTTGTGAGGAGAGTGAGCTCCCGGAGTGTGAACTTGTTGATTCGTGCAGGATGGGACTTGTGTGCAGTACCACACTCAGCACATGCATGACACACAACATACATGACACACAATACACACATGACAAACACACACTAGCAGGGAGAGTGTAGACAGAGAAGAAGTACCTGGTAGCAGCTGTCTGTCTCCTCACTCCCTGCGCTCCTCTGCTCATCCCTCACAGCTGCCCTCGCTGCCGTCTCTCGTCTCTCTTCCCCTCCCGGCAGACAGAGGGCGCTGGACTACACGGCGACACCCCCAGCAGGACCTGGGAGAGGGGGGACCGCGCAGACACCGACGTCTGGCAGGGGCGAGAGGAGGTCACGTGGTGAGGTGAAACCGCTTCCGAATAACGTGAGCTGGGACCGGAGTCACCGGAGAGAGGTGAGGCTCGGGAAGTTTTGGGCTTGTACGGCGTTACGTTGATTGTAACGACCAGTGGCGGCACTGCGAGTGTCGTTGGCAGCTGATTAGGTCCTACACAAGGATATCAAGTTATCCTTTACCACAGATCTTCCCCGTGTATAGTAACATCTTTTACAATTGAAATAACTTTGGATTTTCCTGTTTTCTATGGAATGAAAAGGGTGAATGACACCAATAATGCCCATACAGTATAATGGGAAGAAAGATGGGCCTTGGAGTCGAGAACCATATGACACATCAAAAAAAATCTTTAGCAGGCATACTCTCCAATCACAGTAGCATTGATCTAAATTGAGATTAGGTGGGATTATCATTATTTTCTATGGAATGACAAGTGTGAATGACACCAAGAATGCCCATAGACTTTAATGAAACCAAACGGAATGCCCATAGATTATAATGGGAAGAAGGATGGGCCTTGGAGATGAGAACCATATGACACATGGAATAAATCTTTAGCAGGCATACTCTTCAAGCACAGTAGCATTGTTCTAATTTGAGATTAGGTGGGATTATCATTATTTTATATCTGATACTTTGCTTCCCATTATAGTCTATGGGCATTCCGTTTGGCTTCATTATAGTCTATGGGCATTCTTGGTGTCATTCACACTTGTCATTCCATAGAAAATAATGATAATCCCACCTAATCTCAATTTAGATCAATGCTACTGTGGTTGGAGAGTATGCCTGCTAAAGATTTATTTGATGTGTCATATGGTTCTCGACTCCAAGGCCCATCTTTCTTCCCATTATACTCTATGGGCATTCTTGGTGTCATTCACCCTTGTCATTCCATAGAAAACAGGAAAATCCAAAGTTATTTCAATTGTAAAAGATGTTACTTTTTTTTTTTCTGGCAAGAGTGATATTGAAGCAACAAACCTGTTGACGTGAATCTCGATGCCAAAAGACGCCTTTCCTTACACTGAACTACTCTGCTAGAATGACACACCTCCAGCTCAGAAGTCCATTGACCACAATGGGGAGAGCACAGCTAGTCTACCGGAGCAGCTTGTGGAAGATCTTTCCACTTTGTTACTATTAAATTCCACTTAAATATTACATCGGCCACATATTTTGTCTGGCCTTTGTTACAGTGCTTGGTAATGGGTAAACAAATATTATTCGCTACAGAATGTAACGGTCTGTACAGCCAAACTCTTGCTTTTTCTAATCATGCCAGTGCTGACAACTGTATCCTGGAAAGCACACAAATAGTTCCATGAGCAAGTTTGTATACTGACCTATTATAATTTCAACATAGTTATCTCCTGAGGGCTGCATTGCCCAGAGCAAGAGCGCAGTAAGGTCTCAGAGGAGCAGTTGTTATTATTTAGCTGCTTCTTATCATGGCTTGCGACCCAATTTCTTGTCTGTTTCCCCTTAAGGACTTCAGCAAAATGATTATCCCAGTCAGATGCTTCACATGTGGAAAGATTGTTGGAAATAAGTGGGAGGCTTATCTTGGACTACTGCAAGCTGAATACACTGAAGGGTACGTATAGTTTATTCACAGTTGTGTTTTTATTAGCAGGGAAATTCTTACCCCCCATGATGAGATGGATAATATTTTAACATTTTATGCTAAATATCTGTCCTTCCTCATTAAAAATAAAAAAACACATCAGGATTGCTGCAGAAGAATGTTCAGGGGTTGTAGCTCTGAGCAAAATTTTGGCAAAAGCTTTAATGTGATGCCTGGAAACTCTTAAGCAAGGCAGCAGCTACACAGGCATCGGCCATAGCTATGTCAGATATTCAGGAATGTCAGTGAAAACATTGAAATCCCCTTCATGGTGCGTTCTGCCCAAACCCCCTCCCCAAAAGCACCTCAGTCCTTCTAGTTTTGACCCAGTCCATCAGCATGATACAGATGATACTATTACCATTCTCAGATGTGGAAGACTCTGCAACTGGTGTTGGACATCTGATGCCATGCAGCCATTCCAATGATGAACCAAATGTATAACTCATACTAAAAGGGCATCTGTAAGTTTCCTGTGAATTTGGGAAAACATTTTAAAGTGTGTCTATATCCCAAACCCTTTTTTTAGTTTTGGATAAATTGGCGGTGAGGGACGAAGCCACAAGCAGTCATGAACATGAAGTGTTCCACAAGGCTTCGTCTGGTCGGCAGTGCTACACCATGCAGCCTGATTTCTGCTGTGTCATTCACTGACTCTTATGGCTCCAAAGGAAGGTTGGAAGTATTAAAGGGAAGTCTCCTTCCTCCTACCCCCATACTGTGGGCAGGGCACAGTGGGGGGGGCCCATGGGAGGTGATCTCCAAGACAGGAAGTGAAGAAGTCTAACAGCAACACAGACGTAACTAAAAATGTTTCTTAAGTAATTCTGTCTGTTTCCCTGGGGCTGGTTTTCTTTATTTCTTGCCAGGTAAAAGATTGTCCCCAGAACAGAACGTGAAGGGGAATCTCTCTAATAGAGTCCCAGATAGCAGTAAAACCTGCCAGGAATTCTAAGCCTTCCTCTTTCTATCCAAAATTAAAACAGTATACATGTCAAAGAATTTAGTGTAGTATTTGCATCGTTCCCCAACCTTATGTTCATGGTGTGCCAGGGCTCTTTGAATCTTCATGTTCCTGTTTGTATAACATCAGTTTGCTCACTGTTGTTCCATATGTAAATTATTTTTTTCACTCTTTTCCAGAGATGCACTGGATGCTTTAGGCTTGAAGAGGTACTGCTGTCGCCGTATGCTTCTGGCTCATGTGGACCTGATAGAAAAGCTTTTAAATTATGCTCCACTGGAAAAATGAGGGGAGCACTTCTTGAAGCACATTCCGTGAAGATAAGAAATCTCATGATATGGGATATCTTTAGATTGACCACACTTCCAAGCACAGTTTACATACAAGATGGTTGGAAAATGCCAGGACGTTTTTATAATCCTTACATAGAGCATACACAATACAAATTACATTTTTGTTAAAAAAACATGAGTTTTGTTATAAATAAAGAGATGTCATTTCTATTGAGTGTTTCAGATTTTAACCTTTATTATTGGAACAGACTATAGCTTCCTAGTCACTTTTCTCATCACCTTTCTTCCATGTGTTTAAAAAAAAAAGCTCCCTGAAAAAAACTATTTTTCTTTTTGAAAGAAATAAGATAAGCAGCATATCTCCACTGGCCTATTTTTTAATCACAGCAAGGAAGTGTTCTGGCCTGCTGATTCCAATGTAACCAATTTAAATTGAGCCTTTTTTCCTCCTAGGTGAAGATTTTAGTTGAAGCCCAGGACCCAGGAGAACGAAGCCTTTAATTCCAAGTGTCCCAGATACTATAGGGTGGGGAGAACCTTTCTTCGCAGTCCCCTGCAAAGCCCCCATATTGTTCCTCTGCTGACTACAGATACTGGGTCGCTTTTTCCTCCCAGCGAGCACTGCCTTCTTGCCTTGTGTCTTGGTTCAAGAATATGAACTATGACTGCTGGGTTCTATACACCATGCTGTTTTTCACATAATTTGTACCATTGCACATCATGCTGGTGTCACATACTGTAGACTGCTCCGCGTTGTTTTGTATGTTCTATACAGTGAACAGTGAGCAAATGTTCTGTGTAAAGGCAATCCTAGCAATGGCGTGTTGCTTTGTTTGTGTGAGGAAAGTACTGAATTTGTCTCTGCTGACATGTTTGTGCTTTGGGTAGTACAGTACTGATTGGGTCTGTGTGTCGGTCTCCGGTTGTGTCAGTACGGTGCTGGCTCTGTCTCTGTGGACATGTTTCTTCTTCGGTTAGTATAGTACTGATTAGATCAGTGGGGAGGTCTCTGGTATCAGTATGGTGCTGGCTCTGTCTCTGTGGACATGTTTCTCCGGTTAGTACAGTACTGATTAGATCAGTGGGGAGGTCTCTGGTGTCAGTATGGTGCTGGCTCTGTCTCTGTGGACATGTTTCTCCTTCGGTTAGTACAGTACTGATTAGATCAGTGTGGAGGTCTCTGGTGTCAGTATGGTGCTGGCTCTGTCTCTGTGGACATGTTTCTCCTTCGGTTAGTACAGTACTTATTAGATCAGTGGGGAGGTCTCTGGTGTCAGTATGGTGCTGGCTCTGTCTCTGTGGACATGTTTCTCCTTCGATTAGTAACGTACTGATTAGATCAGTGTGGAGGTCTCTGGTGTCAGTATGGTGCTGGTTCTGTCTCTGTGGACTTGTGCCTTCTTGGGTTAGTATAGTACTGATTAGGTCTGTGTGGAGGTCTCTGGTCAGTATGGTGCTGGTTCTGTCTCCGTGGACATGTTTGTGCTTCTTTTTAATAAAGTTATTTTGCTATCGCTGCTGAGGTTTCTGGTATGTCAGTGCTGCGTTTGTTGTCTGGAGACATGTTACTGGTTGTGATTGTGTTAATTTGGTTTTGATTGAACTTCTGTAATCAAGATCTTACAATATTAAAACAAGAGCAAGTCTTGAGCAAGTCTTGATCAATTAGTTTTGGTGCTGTGTGCTTGGGGGGCAGCAGAAAGTAGCTAGCCTAGGGGGAAGAAAAATATATAACTCTGTGGTGCTCTCAAAAACTCTTTTTTTACATAGGAAGTACCTAATTTGATAGTATGTAATGGCTACTGCCCGTGTTTTAGTTTCAAAATTTAACCAGATGATACTTACACAAAGGGTAACCTCAAAATATAACCAGATGATACTTACACAAAGGGTAACCTCAAAATATAACCAGATGATACTTACACAAAGGGTAACCTATCTTTTTAACACATATTTAGGGTGTCCATTAGGGATGCAAAGATACCAATACTTACACAAAGGGTAACCTCAAAATATAACCAGATGATACTTACACAAAGGGTAACCTATCTTTTTAACACATATTTAGGGTGTCCATTAGGGATGCAAAGATACCACTTTTTTAAGACCGAGTACCGATACTTTTGATCAAGTACTCGCAGATACCAATTACCGATACTTTTTCTTAAAGGGACAGGTCACATTTTTTCTAAAGCAATACAAACTAATGCTTTAAGGTCACTTTCTTAATATTATGATTCATGAGATGACGAGGGAGCATGACGCCGGCTTCCCGGCCAATCGGTATTTTTATGATTGGACATGGTCTAAAAAAGATTGATAATCTGTTGAGCGTTGATTGCATTGCAGCACGTATTTGATCATCAGTGCTGACATTTGTGGCCCGCATGTTCCATCACATGTTAATGTTGCCACCCTGCTATATTACTGTAATCCTAATATTGAAGAGGAAAAAAAAAAGAAAACTTGTGCCGAATGCTTTTGCCTTTACCAAGTGACTGCTCCGGTTCTGGCCTTTATTAGATGTACCATAGGGGAAATCATGGTGTGCTGCCTGTACCTTTCCGGCAGCATGCTGTGTGAACTAGCATCTCAGGCTGTAAACAGTGTGGCAGTGAATGCTGAAACCAGGATCTTTGGTAGTCAAGCAGTCCACCTATGGCCTGTCCATTGGCGTCACAAGGTGTGTGCAGCCCGCACCGGGGTGACACCATTGGGGGGGGGGGGGGTGACACCAAAATGACAGTCATTTTGGTGTAAACCCCCTCTAAAAAGTTGAGCACTCGGTCATGGACTGAGAGCCCAACAGTGTCAGGAGAGAAGAGGGGACCCGGCAGCATACCTCATCCCAACGGGTGAATATTTGCTCTCTCTGCCGGCGTCCATCACCAAGATGGCCGCCGGAAGGCATCAATGAGATGACCGCGCGTGCACGATGACGTCACGGCGGGGTCTCAACAGGTCTCCGTTTCGGGTGACGCCCCTGAGCATGTCCTTAAATTTGGACTGCCTGGCCTATCTTTTTTTTTTCCAATTTCTGACAGTCTACTATAGAACAGGGATTAGCTCAGGCTTGGACTGAACCTGGTGCAACCCTGAGATCCTCTTCACATGGAAGGAACTCCTCCAAAGCTCTTTCTTTTGCCACCCAATCAGCTGCAGATAAGCTGGAAATGCCCAGCCCACAGCTAATTTGGGGGTGGTCCACGGCATTTCTGCGTTCAGAGTAGCTCAGGTATGGACCGGGTTCAGTCCAAACCTGAGCTCATCCCTATCTCAGAATGCTCAATGGTCTTTGACCATTTCCTGCACTATGTCCCCAGTTTTTGAACAGGCTGATTTACTAAAGATGTTGTGACTCTTCACTTCAATCAGCCAGTCATGTGTCACTCTAATTCCAAGTCAGTTTACATACCCAGTTGTGCAGATGCTTTTCACATGATTAGACAACTGAAGTGAATATTCAAGTTTTCTGAGTAAAGAGTCTCAACTTCTGTAGTAAATCAGCCTCAACGCGTGGCCCTTTGGTGTTGTCAGGGGCAGCAATTGAGATCCCCACACAATATCTACCTAGTTGACCACCACTGCTTCACACAGTTCAATAAATGCGTTGAGTCTGATTTTTCATTTTTTTTAGATGATATACACACTATATTGCCAAAAGTATTGGGATACCCTCCAAATCATTGGGTTCGGGTGTTCCAATCGCCTCCATGGCCACAGGTGTATAAAATCAAGCACCTAGGCATGCAGACGCTTCTACAAACATTTGTGAAAGAATGGGTCGCTCTCAGGAGCTCAGCGAATTCAAGCGTAGTATGACCACCTGTGCAATAAGTCCATCTGTAAAATGTCCTTGCTACTAAATATTCCACGGTCAACTGTTACTGATATTATAACAAAGTGGAAGCAACTGGGTACAACAGCAACTCAGCCATGAAGTGGTAGGCCACATAAAATGACAGAGCGGGGTCAACGTATGCTGAAGTCGCCAACTCTGCAGAGTCAATAGCTACAGACCTCCAAATTTTGTGTGGCCCTCATATTGGCACAACAACAGTGCGTAGAGAGCTTCATGGAATGGGTTTCCAAGCCTTACATCACCAAGTGCAATGCAAAGCGGCGGATGCAGTGTTGTAAAGCACGCCGCCACTGAACAATCTGATAGACGTGCCTGGGTTTGGCAGTTGCCAGGAGAACGGTACTTGCCTGACAGCATTATGCCAAGTGTAAAGTTTGGTGGAGGGGGGAATATGGTGTGGGGTTTTTTTTCAGGGATTGGGCTTAGTTCCAGTGAAGGGAACTCTTAAGGCTTTAGCATACCAAGACATTTTGGACAATTTCATGCTCCCAACTTTCTGGGAACAGTTTGGGGATGGCCCCTTCCTGTTCCAACATGACTGCGCACCAGTGCACAAAGCAAGGTCCATAAAGACATGGATGAGCGAGTTTGGGGTGGAGGAACTTGACTGGCTTGCACAGAGTCCTGACCTCAACCTGATAGAACACCTTTGGGGTGAATTAGAGCGGAGACTGCGAGCCCGGCCTTCTCGTCCAACATCAGTACCTGACCTCACAAATGTGTTCTGGAAGAATGGTCAAACATTCCCATAGACACACTCCTAAACCTTGTGGACAGCCTTCTCAGAAGAGTCGAAGCTGTTATAGTTGCAAAGAGTGGGCCAACTCAATATTGAACCCTACAGACTAAGACTGGGATGCCAATAAAGTTCATGTGGATGTAAAGGCAGGCGTCCCAATACTTATAGCAATATAGTGTGTATATATATATATATATATATAATTACACATACATTTATGGTAGCTTTCATTTACTGTGGGGTTTATGAGCTTAGCTAAACATTGGAGCAGTGTTTTTTCTTAGCGGATAATGGAATGTACTTATAGCATTAGGCTGTGTAAAACACCAGGATTAATTGCTTAATTCTTTTTGATTCTAAGGGTTGAAAAGGGTTCCCCCAGCTTTGTAATACGTCAGATAAGATAATGCATCAGGCTGT